ATGTCCTGGAACAGAGCACTGAGCAGCCATGCAGCTGCAGAAGCAGAGTCATTTATTGGAACCATTTTCAGCGGAGAAAGTGGGAGCAAAGAGAAAGTTCAGTAGCTGTGTTGGTTTATTTGTTTTTCTATACTATGGACTTTTTAATGAAAAGTGCACAAGAAACAAAGTACAGTACTGACAGGCAACCACTTCCAAGTTTGTTAGCAAATGCATGACTTTCAAATTTGTATTTCCAACAGATTTAAATCAAGCCCTAGCTACTTGGGAGGCCAATACCATTACTCCGTGTAATGTCAGTTTATAAAACTTTAGATTGGTCTTCCATGTATATATACTGTACAGCTAGAGGAAAGACAAGGGTTTCAGAGGTCTTAGAGCTTAAGTCACCTAGGTCCTCTGCAGGAACAGTATGCAGTCTTTACTGCTGACCCTTCTCTCCTGCCTCAAAAGTGGGCACACCAGGAAAGGTCACTGAAACAGCTGATCCCAAGTCACTGATGACAGTTCAATGATTTGGTTCCCCTCCCAAATAAGTAAGATGTTAAACATGTCTAAGAGGAGCATTGACACACGTAACTTAAAGGCAGACTTATATGCCCAGTCTTTTGCACAATAGTTTCCCAGTAAAATTCTGGTTTAGTTGTTTTCCATCAGTCTGTTTCACTGCTTTGTCACTTGAATAAACCTTTCCAGTATGTTAAACATCCCCCTCCCAACAGGGCTGATTAACAGGCAATCTAAAACTGCTTATATAGCCCTTACTTTATCTGCATTTATGCATTTATGCTGAATTTATTCCCGTGCCATAAGTTTTGGTTTCTTCAGTTTCTTCTGGGATATCTTTTTCTTCTGTGCAACCTCTTCTTCTGGCTTTGGAACAATCTGTTCCTTTTCCGTGAGGATTATCTCCATGTGGCAGGGGGAGCTCATGTATGGGTTAATCCAGTCGTGAGCTCTCTAAATTCGTCCGAGCATCTTAGGAGCTTTGTTCATCTGGATGTGTTCAATGACCAGAAAATCTCCGTCTAGACCCTTAAGTTCAGTATTACTCTCTGCATTTTTAAGCATGTGCAGCAAAAATTCAGCACTCTTTTTTGGCCACCGACCCTGTGTCCAGCCCCACTGTTTAGCCTGGCACACCTGCTGACTCTACCGTTGTACCGCCGGAATGGCACACATTGCTTCTTCAAAGTGACATCTTTCAGGTATTTGGTGGCTTTTTGGATATGCATACCCTGGATGGCCTGGGCAGTTTCACGGGTGTTCTTAAAGTGAATCTGAAGATTCGAACCTCTTGACTTGCATAATTTTGTAGGGTTTTCAGGGTTGAGAGAGTAGGGAACCATCTTCACAGGTCACCTCAGGCCGCTTACAGGAAAAGCGTGTTGGTTTATTTTTGTCAGCTGGACACAAGCTAGAGTTATCTAGGAAGAGAGAGCCCCAACTGAGAAAGTGCTCCATCCGATTGGCCCTTAGGAAAGTCTGTGGAGCATTTTCTTGATCAATGAATGATGTGAGAGGGTCCAGCCCATTGTGGGCTGTGCCACCTGGTCCTGGGTGTAAGAAAGCAGGCTGAGCAAGCCATGAGGAGCCAGGCAGTAAGCAGTTATGCTCCATGGCCTCTACAACAGCTCCTGCCTCCAGGTTCCTGCCCTGACTCCCTTTGTGATGAGCTGTAAGGTGATTTTGGTCATGGCGTGTATCACGGCAACAGAAAGCAAACCAAGGCAGTAGTTTAGAGAGCGGCAGTGCAAAAAGGATCCGGCTCTCATGTTTGGGAGCACAGATCTTTCTGGCTCATTTGCATAGTGCAAACTTTCTTGAGCACGCTGTGTTCCATATAGATCCACATACAATTTCATGCATTGCTGTCTCATTAGAATCTTTCGTCTTTGTTCTTTTTTTCTTTTCTTTCTTTCTTTTTTTTTGAGACAGGGTCTTACTGTGCATCTGTGGCTGATCTGGAACTCACTATGTAGACCATGTTGACCTTTAACTCACAGATCCACCTGTCTCTGCTTCCTGAATACTAGGAAGGCTGAAGCACATAGAGCCCAGACTTTGGAGAAATAGTATTTATTTATGTATTCATTTATTTATTTGAGGTCAAGAAAAATTTAAGACTAAAATGTCTTGGGATGGGGTCAGCAAAACTACTTTATAGGGTACTGTCATGGCACATGCCACTGCATTTACTCAAATCTTTAGAATGGCCAACACCAGAGTGACCCCTGGGATCGACATGGATTCTGATGCTATGACATGTCGGGGCAGGCTCATCCATTGTAAAAAAGGTCCTGCAGTGGGATAGTATGTGGCTAATGGAAGCTGTGTACAGAGAGGAACCCAAAGCTGGCTCAGAAAAGTAAACTCTACTGTTTTATAAAGGGAAACAAAGAGGAATGTAACACCTGTCTGTTGCTTTCACTTCCTGTAAAAGCTGATAAGATGCAGCTAGAGCAGGCTGGCCTACACTGGACTTCTGCTTACCTTTGGTCCCAAGTGGAAGAAATTGGAGTCCAGTTTAATTGCTCATGGGAATAGCCATGACTGAGGGAGGAGGTGGGGACTGGCAGCCGGGGATGAGGGCAGAGTCCCAGGACTCTGTGTTGAGGAGAGTCAGATGCCTCTGTGAGCCCCATTACCTAATAACCTCACAGTGAACTGGAGACGCTTCTGAGTCAAAATACTTGATTGTGGGTCAGCTGGAACTAGATGGATTGATCCGGTTGAAGGTGTCCCATGTCCTCCTGGTCCTGCACTCTCCAGGCTCCCTCCACCCACTTCTCTTTCCCTCCGGGTCTCAGAAGAGTTCACCTCCACACAGCTCAATAGTTTCCCTGCCAAACCATCTCTCTCTTATTCTTTACCTGTTTTTTTATTTTATGGCACTAGGTACTTCCTGAAGTGACATCACTTATCCATCCACCTGTCAACTAGGTTACAAGCCAGTAAGGATGTGAGCAACACTCTCCCATGGTGTGGACATGTTAGGCTGAGTAGCTGCTCCCAGAAATATGTCAAGCAGTTCCAGGCACTGGGAACTAACAGGTGGCTTCCTATAGGATGCTGGCATTCCCAAGGTTGAAGGAGGAGAACCAGGTGAAGTCAGAGTCTCCACTGGAAGTGAAGGAATGAATGGGAGGTCCAGGGCTGTGAGATGGATACCAGCAGTCCCCCAAAAGCCCTAAGTTGGAGGCCACAGTTTGAAAATGAATCTATCTGTGTCAGGGGGCTGGCCAACCATTAATCTGGCACTGAGCTAATAATAAAATGTCCTGTGGTTATGAAGTATAATTTATGTTTGTTTTTTTTTAATCTATATTGTCCAAGATAGGAACCACAAGCTGTGAGTTGATCTTGAGCACTTACACATGGCTAGTGTGAGGGGCAAACAGGAGAGTAACTGTATTGGATTCTATCTAAGTTGTAAATGGCTACCCATGGCTTCTGGGTACTTCATGGATGTGCACAGTTTTGAGGTCCCATTGCATTATATTCTCTGTGCCCAGCTGGTGGAGGATATCAGACAAGGGTTCCCGTGGTCACAGGAGAGGAAACCTGCTGCATTTCTCCTAGAGTCCAGACAGGAAACACCAGTTTTCCTAAAAGTGAGTGGGCGGGGAGGAGCATGAGGGTAAAAAGAGAGTATAAGGGATGGGGTAAGCACACAACAGTCTGCAGGCCTGCTTCCATTCAAGCATCCATCACCTCACCTCTTAAGCCACATGGTTAGCACCAATTTGCATCCAGGCAGCTCTGGAAATTGCCAAAGGCAGTTCCAGAGTAAAGTGCTGCCAGTTTTCAGGTTCCACTCACTCAGCTCTCACCAGGGCTTTGGGGAATCCTGGCACTGTTGTCTCCTCAGAATCATCCCAGCCCCTAGCAGCAGTGTGCCAGCCCCCCAAGAGGGGCCACAGGATCTTAGGATGTCATGTTCGGAGCAGAGGTCCTCAGTGTGGTTGTGTGAAAATTAGCTAGTGTTTGCCCTTCCAGAGACACAGGGTTAAGTGGCCTGGGTTTCACCCAAGCATCAGGATTTTTGAAAGCTCTCCGGGAATCCGAATGTACATTTAAGGCCAAGGAGCATCTGGTTTAAAACCAGTTTGGCTAGATGTGCTCGAATCAGTTTAAATGCCTTTTAGAAGCTGGCTGGTGCATCCCTCATATTGCTTTGGAGAACGTCTAGTGTGTGCTTGGCATTGTGCTTAGCGCAGACACAGAGATGAGCTCAGATCACATCTTTTAAAAGGTGGCCTGAGAAATACAAATGGTACAGTGTGGGTGCCCCACATAGACTAACCGTCATTCTGCCACAGAGTAACCTGATCAGTAAGCAAACATTTCACAATATTCTGGATCTGACTGCTCTAGTACTGTGCAGTTATGGTGACAAAATTAACCTGGAAAGAGCATAAGACAATGAAGGGACTGAGCTAGATTGGGAGGGGTGTGTGTAAGGCCTGTCCCCTGAGCTGACAGGAGCCTCTCCAGGTGTAGCTGGGAAAAGCAGCCTTTTGGAGCTTTGCATCTGCTTATGTCACAGCATATTTATTACAAACCATATCACAACACACGAGTCTCACTATGCAGCTTTGGCCTCCTGGAACTCACTCACTCTATAGACCAATCTGGCCTTGTACTCACAGAGATCTACCTGCCTCTACCACCCATGCTGGGATTAAAGGAGTGTGCCCCTATGCCATGGGAATTTTTTTTTTTTAAAGAAAAGCTTGGTAATCTTCACCATCCTGCAAGTTAACCGCTACTTCCACTCACAACTCACTAAGAACTTGCCAGGTAGGATAATATTCATGGGAAGGCATCTGCTCTCAGAAACCTTCTGGAAGGGCCTGTCCTCTGGTGAATATCCCTGTGAGGGTGTGGGTGGTGGGGAGACTCATTTAGCATTTTCCCTCCCCGTGTGTGTCAGCATAGAGAAAACATATGTGACACATGGACCCTGCAGGGAGTCACCCACACCTGATACCTCTCCCTGTGCCTTGGTGGGCCATAGAAAACATCTGTTTTTGTGGTTTGTTTTGTTTTGTTTTGTTTTTTTCTGCAGTCACTTGTATAAAAAGAACCTCGATGTGACCAAGATCCGGACAGGAAAACCTCGGCCTCTGCTCAGAGTCGATGACCATGACTTCACCATGAGGCCAGCCTTTGGAGGTAAGAGAGCTTCCTCCCTCAAGGGTGGGCTGGTCACTTTCTCTCACCTGTCCCTAGTGCTGCTGTATGGAGGCCCAGACTGTTCAGTTCTCTCAGCAACAGCTCATTTTCACCTCCACCATGGGTGAGATAAGCTAAGGAGAGAAATAGTCCCAGGGAGTGCTGAGGCTATTGACAGAAGGGCCGAAGACACTCAGGGTTGACCTTCACACAGGAGAGCAGGCTGTCTTTTCCAAAACAAACAGCCGGATGCAGGTCTACAGGTCACTCTACCACTCCACCACCAGATGGGGTGAACTTGGCTCATGACTGAGGTTGCTCACACCTCTTATGGCTCCATTCCCAGCTTTCCCCTTTGGAGGTCAGGGAGGGGACAAGTGGCTCTCAGGATCTGGAGGAATGCCTCACTGAGGCCTGCATTTCAGCCATAACCAAGTACCACAGGCAAGGGGGCTCAGAAACCACACACACTTGTTTCTCATAGCTCTAAAGGCCAAAACTCAAGACTAGACAAATTTTGTGTCTGGAGAGGGATCACTTTTTTGGGCTCATAGGTGACATCTGCTCACTCTGTCAGCATTATGTCACCACAAATGCAATGACCAGAGACAGAAATTGAGGCTGTTTTTTAAAAACCTACAAGCCGGCCAGTGGCGGTGCACACCTTTAATCACAGCAGTTGGGAGGCAGAGGCAGAGGCAGGAGGATCTCTGAGTTTTAGGCCAGCCTGGTCTACAGAGCAAGTCCCAAGTTCAGCCAGGGCTACACAAAGAGAAACCCTGAAAAAAAATACTCCCTCAAATTACCTTATTTATTTTATGTTTGTATGTGTATGGGTGTAATAATTATTTATTTAGTGTGTTTCTGTTTTGTTACAAGTATGAAGATCAGAGGACAACTTTTGGGAGTTCTCTCCTTCCACTATGTGGGCTCCAGGGATCAAACTCAGACTGTCAGGCTTGGGGGCAGGTACCTTTCTTTCCTCTGCTGAGCCATTTCACAGGACTGGACATTGGATCTTTGAGCTGTACTTTATTCAGAAAGCCAGCATTTGGACAAGACAGTAGATTATTTCTCCTCTCTAGGCAGCAGCTAATAGTGAGTGGAAACCAGGCTGTAGACAGTGTTGGAGACAGAAGAAGAGAAATGGCAAGGTGTCCCTAAAAGATGAGCTGACCATTGTCCCAGAGGTGCAAGACCGAGCTTTGGAGTGACTGATGTCAGCAGCTCTCTGGGCATCAGGGCTTGCATGCTCTCATGCCTGGGGGCCTCATGATGCTTCTGCAGCATTACCAGGCTAGAGTTGACTCTGAACAAACAAACAAACAATTAGTAGCTTTGTAGTACACCCATTCTGTTCTATTTACAGGGTATATGTGAAGACTCTATTTTACAATGTGAAGTACAAAGTGCTCTTAAAACACAATATAAAACTGTCACTATTTGTCCCTCTCCCCTTCAGCATATCTCACACGGTGGATGGGTGGGGATCTCTCTGAGTAGGTTTTATAAGAGTATGAATCTCATTCAAGAGAGGGTCCATGCCTGTGATCTAATTACCCACTTCCTCATGGAATCACTTGGGGAGCAGTTGGAGTCCCATAGTCTCATTTTGTG